TTTTTTTAAAGCCAAACTGATTTTTATAAAAAAAATTCTTCTCCTTAGAATAAGTATATAATCTATTGTAAATAATTTTTTCTAAGATTTTTGAAAATGTTGATAAAATAGAAATAGGTCGGTAGTTACATATATTAGTTCTGTCTCCTTCTTTGTATATTGGGATTATCTTAGCTATTTTTAACTTATCAGGAAAAACTCCTTGTTGTATTGACGCTCTGAAAACTTTAAAGAGAATATCTTTTAATTGTTCAAAGCGTTCTAAGACTATGTTTCCATTTATTTAATCAGCTCCAGGGGCTTTGTTTTTTTTAATAGATTTAAACGACACTTGAAACTCCTCAAATGATAGCTCAGAAGATAAATTATTTGAACAAATGCAATAATCCTTCGGTGTTAAAAAGTTATTGAACACAACTTGGGTATTAGGAATTTTATTTGCTAGTTTCGAACCGATATCAATAAAGAATTTGTTAAACTCATGAGCTATTAATCTAGGTTCAAAAATATCTTTGTTATCCACTCTACCTGCGGTAGGGAACCTGAGCAAGTTTTTTGTTTTCCACCAGTTTCTCTTAATATTTTCCAAGTACGTTTAGAGTCGTTCTTAACATTTTCAATTAATTTCGAGTAGTAATTCTTTTTTAAATTTTTACGTATTTTTTCAAATAGATGTTTGTAATCTTTGTATAATTTTTCGTTTAAAGATGTTTTTATTTTTAGGTAATTTATATATAGCTTTTGTTTGATCTTAGATGATTTTTTAAAACCCTTAGGAACCCAAGGAACATTTAAGCTTTTTTGATTTATTGTTTTTTCACAGATGGGAAAATTGGCATCATAGACAGAATAAAATGTTTTATAAAAATTCGTCATTAAAATTTATATGCTTCCAATGAAGCAGTGATAATTGTTTTTTAAACTGTTCAATATTGTTTATATTATATATGCGTTTACTTATTTTATTATTAGTTTTGGTTTAAATTTTAGAATTTGAGTTGAATGATAGAAATATTGGAAAATGATCATTTATATCTGCTTTCAATATACCTTTTTGTATATTGTTATTGAAGACATCAGTTGTAATAATGTTATCAATGAGAGTTGCTGAGTTTGCTGATACTCTAGTTGGACGATTAATTAAAGGAATTGCTCCTATTTCAAATATTAAATCATAAAATTTTTTTATTTTACAGTCATTCTCGTAGTTTAAAAAATTCATGTTTAGATCGCCAATAATAATTTTTTTTTTCTTTAATGCCTATTTTGATAACATTTTGCTCAAAAAACGTGCTCAGATTCTCACTCAGACTGTCAGATGGTCGATAACAGCAGCTTAGTAATACATTTTTAGATTCATTGTTTAAGATTTCAATAGTTAAAATTTCTTTATCGCCGTCAGAAACACTTAAATCATTCCTAACGTAATGCACAATGGTTTCTTTCACGTAAATAAGAACTTCACCACCGTGTTTATTTGTATGTCTCTCTTGGTTGGCAATTGATTTAATGAAATGGAACGTTTTGAAATATAAAGAGTATCACCACTTTTTGATGACTTCTTATTTTTTCTCATGCCCGGCGTGCTTTATTGACGATCCCTAATATTTAAATTTCTTAAATAATGTTTTTTTTATAAATTTTATATTTTTAACTCATAAAGAGAAAAGAGAAGATGGAGGGGGGGGGGGGGAGGTGGTACTTCAAAAGCGTACGTAGTTTTCAAAGGGGGGAGAGGACTAAAAAGTACGCATGGCAACTGGGGGGAGGGGGGGTCAATTTTTTGAAATTTTTGGCGTACGTACTTTATGGATGACCCCTAAGTTAAATATAGGGTAGATAAGCACCTTGGTAATATGAGCATATTAAAGATTTCTTAGGTGTAAGTAGTGAAGTTAAAGTTGCTTTGTATTTTTTGAATCGACTTTTTGTGGTGATCATGGAATCAATACAATTAGCGTAAATTCATATGCAGTAATTAACGGTTATCATATAATTTTGAAATTTTGAAAGGGTTTGACAAAAATCAATATACACTTAGAGTATTTGTCGACTTGTCAAAGGCGTTCGATACTGTGGATCACGAAATCTTTCTATACAAACATAGTAATTATGATATCTAAACAATCGGAAACAAACTTTATATTACAATAAAACTTACACTTCCCTTGAAACCATTACTTGTGGCGTTCCCCAGAGATCTATTCTAGGTCCTTTGCTTTTTCTTGTCTATATTAATGACATATTTTTATCTTCTCGTATACTGAATTTTATTATTTTTGCTCATGACACCCAAGCTTTCTACACCCATTCAAATATTAAAACTATTTTTAACGCAGTAAATCAGTAGCTTGAAGAGCTAAGCGATTGGTTGAAGACCAACAAACTTTCCTTGAACATTAAAAAAAGCAAATACATTCTTTTCACAAAACCAAAACTAAAATATCTGGGATACCATTAAATACCATTAAAATATCTGGGATACCATTAAATACCATTAAAATATCTGGGATACCATTAAAATATCTGGGATAAAATATCATTAAAATATCTGGGTTACCATTAAAATATCTTACCATTAAAATATTTTGTTTTCTCGACTAAAATATCTGGGAGTTTTAATGGTAACGTGTCTGACAAAGTCAGGCACGTTACCATTAAAACTCCCAGATATTTTAGTCGAGAAAACAAAATTTAAAAGAGCATTTTTTGTGAAGTTTCTAGGAGTCGTTCTAGATGAAAGCTGAAAGAACTTTATTAGCTGGAAAGAGAATATTAAGTTGTTAGAAAATAAAATATCTAAAAGCATTGGGATTATGCATAAAAATAAGTATATTTTAAATAAAGTTTGTCTAAAAAGTTTAAACTTTGTATTTGTTCATAGCTGCTTTAGCTACTGCAATGTTGCCTGGGCAAGTATTTACCAATCAAAAGTAGCCTTAGTCTATAAAAAATAAAAGCAAGCATGCCGCATATTCACAAATGGATATGCTAGTACTAAACAAATAATGAAAGAACTGAGAGTTCTTAATATTTATGAACAAAACATAAGTTTTGATTTCTTTCGAAATAAAAACAAGTAAAAAATTTTAATACTTTAACATTACTAAATATTTTTCTGTAATTTGAACTCAAAAAACTAAGTTTTTATCGTTAAAAGGTTTTAGTTATGAATATAATAAAACATCTGGGTAATATAAGCACTTTTGCTACTTTTTTAAAACCTCTGTGTTTTTAAAAAAAATTTCAAATGTTTTTGATCATATATTGATCAAAATCAAATTTTGATCAAAATTTTTGATCATGAATAGGGGTCCTAAAAAAAGATTTAAAAAAATTGTTTATTTGCAAAAATTTTAAATCCAGCATAAATACTATTGAAAATATTCTAATTTTCGTTTAAAGTGCTCGCATTACTCTAATCTACCCTATATATATATATATATATATATATATATATATATATATATATATATATATATATATATATATATATATATATATATATATATATATATATATATATACAAAGTCACTATTTTAATTTCTTTTTGATTCTTCTATTGGAAAAATTCTATAGGAATTTATATTTCATTGTTGTGAAGCAAGATACAAACATGTCTAAAAAATAAACACAAAACCGAAACGCAATTGACTGTTGTTGTAATGGTGAAATATATTTACACAGTAAAATGTGATTCACTCATGAAATAAGTAAATTGACAAAACATTTTCAAAATTATTTTAAAAATAGAAAATTCTTTATAACTTTTCATAACATATTTACAAAATATTTATGGCGATTTGTTTTTTTATATCAAGTTTGCTTTTAAGACTGATCTGCACTGAACTTCAAAAAACGGCTTGAAATCTTTTATCTCAAAATAAAATTTTAGATTTTAAGGTTATTTCATTCATTTTAAGTTCGTTTCTTGCATTACACTTTAGTTAGACTTTAGATATGAAGTACTTTTTGAAATTTCAAGTTTGCTTCTTGCATTCGGAAAAGATTTTTGATTTCTTAAGTCTAACTTGAAAGGCGACGGTTTTCAAGTATAGCTTGAGTTCAAGCTCGCTCTTTGCATTTGAAGTATATTTCAAATTTCAAGTTTGTTTCTTGCATTTTACCCTTAATATTGAATCAAAATTAACAAATAAATTTCAAACTTATTAAAATGCATTTTGGCGCTCAAAAAAAAACAAGGCCGTATAAAAATCTTTTATTTTTGATAGTTCTATAGTTTTAAAAAAGGTAAAAAATTAATTAAAAAAATGTTGTTTCAAACTCACTCTGTTCATAAAACATTTTGTTTTTACCTCGTTCTATTCCTATCTCATACTGACCAATCTGAAAAATCCTTAAAAAAAATAAATTTAATTAAAAATATCTAAAAAAAGAGCAATGAAATAGGCGCAGTCAAAGAGTTTTGGTTGGTCTTATCAAAAATATGAAGCATGCAAACTGCATCGTATGTATATGATGCAGTTTGCGCGCATGCTTATCACTAAATAACTCAGTTTATTCACACTTAACTAATTCTTAAACAAATTGTATAATTTGGTTAGTGTTGTTGTTAAGGGGAATAAAAATCTTACAAAATGTTCTCATACCACACCGGTAACATTATTATTACTTAGGTTTATTGGTATTTTATTACTTAGGTTAATTTGGTATTTTATTACTAAGGTTTATTCGGTATTTTATTACTTAGGTTTATTCGGTATTTTATTTCTGCCAGCACTCTTAACACTAAAATTATACAAAATATTTTGAAGGTTTCTTCTATAATACGCTCCTTTCAAAGATAGTAAAGAACTAAGAAAAGATTAAAATACGCCTCTTCCAAAGAAGATAAAGAACTGAGAATAGAACAAAGTACGCCTGTTTCAAAGATGGTAAAAAGTTAAAAATAGAATAAAGTATGCTTCTTTCAAAGATGGTAAAGAGAAAAGAAAAGAATAAAGTATGCTTCTTTCAAAGGATAAATAATAAAATAATAAAGGTTAACTATACTTTTATTCTTTTTAAAAAATTTAAATTCAGCTTTTCACAATTCCTGAATTGAAGTTAATTAAAAATATCATGTAATCTCAGCCGGCAAAGTCTTTTCTTTTTTTTGACCACGAGATAAAAGTCCAAGCAATGTCAAGCAAGCTTTTTTTAACTGAGCACTTTTGACAACTTTTTTATTTAAAAAAGAAGTTGAAATGCACGGTTTTTCATCGCCACAATCACTTTCTTTTTTATTTTTTGTTTTGTCTGAACTTTTTTTTTCGTCGGATGAACTGTCGCAATCATCAGAATAATCAGGACTGCTACAAGATGAACCAGAATTTGAAATATTTGTATGAGAACTATTTGAAGGTCCGGGTAGAGGTTCAGAACCTTTTATTCGTTTATTAGGAGGTTCCTCGTCACTGGGTTTATTTGATTCATCAATCAACTGTTGTTTTAAATGAGGCGTATCACTAGATCCTAGAAAAACAAAAAGATTATATCGGAAAACATCAGGTCTTATTTTCATTTAAAGGTTTTTTCCGATTTTCATTTTTTTCCATTTTTTATTTCCGATTTGTAAAAAAAAAAATCTATCGCACGCAAATAATAAATTTTAATGTAAAAATTAAAAAACCTTTCTCATCTTTATAAGAATCTTTTTCATCAGAAACAGATCTTATATGAATAGTTGAAGATAGCTGATTGTGTCGTTCCAATAAACTATTAACATACTCCTCAAGTGAGGTAGTTGAAGTCAACTCATTAGTTTCTGTAACAGACATCAACAAAGATAATGCCCGTAAATCCTAAAATAAAGTAATCCGTAAGAATTTGTAAATCATTAAAAAAACTTAAAACAAACTTATTTTAATATTACCCCATGTAATTTAGGAAATACTCTTTCAAATTCAACATTTCCCATTTGCTTAATATTTGTAGCTTCAGCAATCATTGACAAAGCAATTGAATTAAGTAAGTTTTGTCTTTGATGATCAGGCAAGACTTTACTATAAACCTAATTAAAATCATTTATTATAAACCCTTTAGTTAAAGCTATTTAAAATTAATAAAACACATTAAAAGTTACTAAAAGTACAAAAAAAAAAAATATTTTATTTGCAAAAAATGCCAAACCTTAGGAAAAAATATGCATGCAAAAGTATAATACACAGAGTCATCAAATAATATACGCTCTTCAGTAAAAAGTGCATCCATAAACTATAATAAAAAAAGTTTAACTAAAAAAAAATAATACTGCAAATGCAAAAAGTATCGACCTAAGCATGTAAAGGTTTAGGAAAGTAAAATTGTAGAAATCTTTGTAACGCCACCGTCACAGACTAAAATTCGGTAAAAATTGCACCATTAAGGTTTAACGTCATTAAATATAATTTATTTACAAACTTCAAACATTAGCATTTACTATTCCAATAGTTGCTTACTGTATTTTTGTAATTTTTATACAAATATAATATAAATACAAGTATAATATAAACACATAATAAATTTTTATACAAATAAATATATAAAAAGGGGAGACCGGGACGTGTTGAAAAGTGGGTCAAGACAACGAATGTCTTAAATTTTCAGTTTTCTACTAGGTGGGAGCATCAACTGGATATTACTGGGTTTCTTATCGGCCGTTCGTTAAACAATAGTATAGAAATATTTTTGTATTAGTTGTGAAGCTCTAAAATCTAAGCTCTTCCACAGCTACAGGTAAGATATTTTGTTTCTCTTTATGTTTTATAAACAATTTAAATACTACCTACACTGTAAAAAAACTCCGTAGTATTTATCGGACTTTTTCCGTTGTTTTGTTACGGAAAAAATCCGTTTTCAATAAATTACGGTCTTTTACCTATACTTTTTAGACTTTTGAAATAATCACATCTTTTTATGGGATTTTGACCGTATTTATGATACGGAGAAGATCCGTAACTTTAAATAACGGACTTTAACCGTATATTTTAGTTTACTTTAGTATAGCCTCTACATTTACAAAGCGCCATAGTTTTTTTTAACGAAGAGAAGTTATACACGTTTTTAATTTCAAGTTAGAGATTTTAATATATTTATATTTGTTTTACTGGAACTAAAGTGCTGTATGTTTTTAAAGCAGCGCATTCACAAAATTTTTTTTGTAATTTAGGCGCTGATTTTTTTAAGGATGCTGTTATAAATAAAAAGAGATATTTATTAAAGATAGGTACTTCTGAAAATTAGTTTCCTATATTATATAGGGTTTATATGGTATAAATATCTTTTCCTATGTATTGAATTTTTTAATTTTCATACTATTTAGTGTTACGTTTTTATAAAAGAAACACTAAACAATATGAATTATAGAAAATTCAGTTAACAAGAAAAGGATTTTATAGCATTGTAAATAAATAAAACATAATTTACTAATAACTAATTAGTAAATATAATTCATATTGTTTAGTGGTTTTTTTACATACTATAAAAACGTAACACTAAATAGTATGACCTTTAAAAAATTCAATACTTTCAATAATTTCTAAATAAAATTGTAAATAAAACTTGATTTATTAGTAATAAGTCAAGTTTTATTTACAATTTTATTTAGACATTATATTGAATTCGCAATTAACAGTGATATATTTGAGATTATTTAGTTGTTTAGTAACATATATATATATATATATATATATATATATATATATATATATATATATATATATATATATATATATATATATATATATATATATATATATATATATATATATATATATATATATATATATATATATATATATATATATATACATACATGTTACTAAACAACTAAATAATCTCAAATATATCACTGTTAATTGCAAATTCAATATAATGTCTAAATAAAATTGTTAAACCGTTAATAAAATTACAAAATACAGTGGAGCGACATCTGACGTCTCTATAGAGACAAAAAAAGAAAACGTCAAAGAAAATCTTATATAAATCAGCTCATCGCCAGTATCATAAAACGAAAGAAGGAATTTATTTTTATGCCTACAATTTAAAACCAACTCGTTCCTTTTGTTCAACAGGTTTCCCCCTGTATGCGTTAAAATAAAATACTTTTCATTAAGACAAAGATTGCAAATTTTGGCGAAGGATTATATGTTTGGCAGCGCTTGATAATTTTCCATTTAATAACAAACAAAAAGTTTTCTTCTTTAAGTTTCCAAATTTCTTTAGATAACTCCGTATCATTGCTGTACTTAATTAAATTAAAAGATTTTAAATGGTTCGCATACCTTAACTTGAAAGGGGTCTCGCTAATACCAATATAAACTTTATCTGTGTAATCTGGTTTATTGGATGAAACAGTAGCTTGATACACAATGTTCTTACTTAGAAACTGGTTGTTCATAACGCAGGTAGATTTATTGATGCAGTTGCAAGTTTTTGTTGTTGTTTTTTCATGATGGTATAAAATATTTTGATTATGCGAATTAATGACTGATTTAACGTTCGGCATACACGAGTAGCTAATTTTAATGGTGTTTCTGTTAAAAATCTTGTGTAATAAATGACCAACAGGAAAGCTTGCATCAATTATTTTAAAAAAAAGATTACCAATTTTTGTTGCAACATTTTTACTATACGGGGGATTATACCAAATAATGTTTCGTTTGTAATTTTTGTTTTTAGTGGGAACTATATCTGACTGATATTTGAGCTTGGATGAGAAACGCGATTTTATTAATGCATCCTGATAAGGAGAAACAGCTTTTTCAAAAATTTTTTATATATATATATATATATATAAATATATATATACATATATATATATATATATATATATATATATATATATATATATATATATATATACATATATATATATATAAATATATATATACATATATATATATATATATATATATATATATATATATATATATATATATATATATATATATATAAATATATATATATATATATATATGTATATATATATATGTATATATATATATATATATATATATATGTATATATATATATATATATATATATATATATATATATATATATATATATATATATATATATATATATATATATATATATATATATATATATATATATATATATATATATATATATATATATATATGTATATATATATAAGTCGCTTTGGAGCAAGTCTCAAGTCACTGAGGTCATGTCTCAAGTCATATAGTGACATGTCAAGTCAAGTCTCAAGTCAAGTCATATTGCAATAAAAGATTCCCGTGCATGTGGTGGCTATCAGTGACGCAGCTAGGAGTTCGGAGGCCCCTTCCAAAATCTGTCATAAAAACCATGAAATTCCTCTTACAAGAGGGGCATGGGGGAACCTTGCGATGGCTCTGGTAGCTACATTCGAACAGTCACCTTACAATTATAAAATACAGCATGATAATTGTTATAATTTTACTTTATTTACTAAAGTAGCTTTAAAAGTAAAATAATCCTTCTGTAATAAAATAGCTAAGGAGTCATAATACACAATACAGTGACATAACACTTCATAAGCTATTTAGCCAATTTACTAATGTTTTTATTCTATCATTCTTTTGAAAAAAAAATTACAAATGCTGATTTTCATAAAAAATTATAGTAATATATCCGTGTTACATTTTAAAAACACTAACTGACAAACAATGTCAGAATTTAAACTTGCACGCTTAGGGTTCATAATCAGGCCACCCTGACTGAATACCCTTTCAACAGGAGCACTGCTTGCAGGTTCCACAAAAGTATACATGGCAGCATTTTGTAGAATTGGTAATTTTTGCCCATGCATTTTCTAAAATTGGAGACAATCTATGTCTAGGGTATTGAAATTAGATGCAAACACTTCATTTACCAGTTCCTCATAGCAATAAAACTGAGTATCAAAACTATTAGAGACGGAAAATAATAATTTTAAAGTCCTATACTTCTATATCACTACATCCTGATCATCTGCAACTGCATGCTCTACATGCTCGCTCTACATACAATTTTTCAACATTACTTTCTTTTTTTTTTTTTTTTAATGTAATAATGATTTATTGATCTGATCTAATTATTGGTATTTAGATGTATCGCAAAAATGAATAGTGAAAAAATGAAATTAAATTGAAAAGAAAAACTGGTAAAAAAGCGGTCGGACCTCACCCAAGTTTCAAGTTTTGTAAACGAACTAGCGCTTGAGAGGACAGAGCATCAATAGATCAAAAGACGTTTTGTTTATGTTTATTATAACTATTATAACATAATATATTATAACAAGTTTTATAATATACTATAATTTATCATTAAAATATAAAATATTATTTGTTATCATAAAAATTATATAGTATATAAAATACAATATATATATAATAACCACTATAATATAATATAATTTGTTTATAATTATTATAGCTATTATTATTTGATGTGTATCGTATTATAATATGAGTAGTTTCTTAATAGTCGAATTACATTTTTATAACAACATATAAATTCTATTCATTTATTTTTGACTTTAGTGTAAACTCTGATAAATGAGTTAAGTAAATGTCTATTTGCTGAATTAACGGAGTTTTTCCGTAAATTTGAATGTAAAAAATGAAAACGGAAACCGTAAATTTTACATAGAAAGTGCTGTCTCTTTGCTGCCTGACATTCTCCGTTATTTTGTACGGAAAAATGAAATACGGAAACCGTGAATTTTACGGAGAAAATACTGTAACTTTTTTAACGGACTTTTTCCGTTGATTTTTACGGAAAATAAAAACTACAGAAACCGTTAATTTTTACGGAGAAAGTGCTGTCACTTTGCTGACAGACAATCTCCGTAAATTCTACGGCGAATTTTTTAACAGTGTATTACCATGAATGTTAATTAATTGCCTTGCTTTATGGCAATGAAAACAAATATTTTAAACAGGCAGAATATTTTGAAACAGTACGGGGCGAAATAAAGAAGACAAGTTGCCCCGTGTAATGTAAATTATTGAACTAAATATGATAATGATGCTGGAGCTGGCTTAAATAAGTATTAGTTAACTGTTATACGCAATTTAAGAAGGTGAGCAACTACTGCGAAGAAAACTCGATTGCGATCAACTAAAGATAATTACAAAAATTCTATTTGTAAGAGTTAAGTTGGGAATAAATAGAATAAGAAAATAAACACGATTTTCTTAAATATAAAATTAGTTATAAACGATATAAAAATACTTTAAATAAATCAACGTCTTGTTTATTTAGTTTAAAAGTATATATTTTTTGTTAGTTAAAACTAAGTGTTAAATGTTTATTAATGATATATATATATAACTATATTTCAGATATGGTTAGACACTATAATAAAAAATCCTTAAGTGGTGAATGGAACAAAAAAGCTATGGCCTCTACTCAAGAAAATGTAAAAGAAGTACGTATGAACTGCTTGGTTACTGCAAATATGTACCTGAAGCTATACTTCGACACCGCTTAAAAAGAAAAGAAAAATTATGGAACCATAAATAAAAACTTTTAACAGGGTTTAAGAATTAATTTGAAACTTTAATTGACCTAACCTGTTGGATTAAATCATGTTATTAAACCTGTATTCAAATATGTAAAATCTGTGTTTGAAAACTTTATTCTCAGGTCTGTGCCTAACAAGCTACCCATGGTTCTCAGTCCAACTGAGAACCTCGGGTAGAAAGGAAGGAGTGTAACCACAATTTGTTGCATGAGCCTGCTATTTTTGATTTTGCCAAAAAAAGTCTCCTGAACTTGTAGAAAAAACCCCACCAGGAAATGTAGGTGACTGTAGTGGCAATGGCTGGAGTAAAATAAGAACTGTTTTGTCTTTTTTGAAACACTTTTATCTTCATATGAAGCCTAACAAAGAATCTCCTGTTCTGCTGATTATTGACAATCACAAAACTCACATTACTTTTGAGGCTACATTATTTTGCAGAAAAAAATACATCACAGTTGGGTATCTAACCCACACATCACATTGTCTCCAGCCCTTTGATATGCCATTTTTTGACCCATTAAAAACTATTTATAGCCAAGTACGTGACAGCTTATGATCACTCATTCAGGACAACCTATCACAGACAAAATATTGGTGAGGTTTTTAGCACCGCTTAAATCAAAGCAGCTACTGTTGGAAATGTTTTCAATGGGTTTAAAAAATGTGGAATCATTATAAACTACTTGTACTTAGTAAACATGACTTTGCTACTGCAAAAACTACTGATGATGATGTTGTTGGGGATGAGAATGTGAATAATAGTGCTAAATTTTAAACTTTGGAAGTAGAAATCCTCAAGGAGAAAACCAGCATAAAAACCCTCAAGGAGAAAACCAGCATTCATTGCCTAAAGCAAAACAATGTGAAAAAAAAAAAAAAAAAAAGAAAAAAAAAAAGTTCATTCTCACAAGCACACCCATCAAAGAACTGTTAAAAGAAAGAAAAATGCAGAAAGAAGAAGCTTGTGAAGCTAAAAAAAAAAGAGTAAAAATACTCAAACTTAGTTCATGTTGGCCTAAGTCTAAATCTAGGTCAACAGTCCAGTTGCACCAACTTCAAAGGATGCTGTTATAAAAAGTCCTGTTTGTGAAAAGGAATTTTGTGATCCTTCAACAGAATAATGGATATAGTGCTATAAATGCCAAGAGTGGTGGCATGACGAATGTTCCATTTATGACATTTTTTTTCTGTGACTACTGCTAATTGTACTTCAAAATTACGTTACGTATTTTGCTTAATAATTGTAAGATTTAAAAACAGAGTTATTGTTTGTTAGACCATTTAACATATTTAAAAGATAAAATATATTTAACTTTTTTCAGCGTTGTCATTTTGCCCCAAGGAAAAAATTTGTTAACAGTCATCTTATCCCAGATTCTCCCCTACACAAAATAAAACTCATCAAGTTACCTGACTTAATACTATTAAAAAAAAAAGCAACAATAAAAAAAGTTTAAAAAAAACATCTTTTCTTTAAAAAATCAAGTATTCTTTAATCAATTTTATCATGTAAAACATTATTGATGCTATACACAATTTTACTTATATCTATTTTAAATATATAAATTTACCTTATTATTTCTTATAGATATATTATACCTGCACCGTTTCAAATGTACAAAAAGATTAAAACTAATTACATTAACAATAATTTACAAATTATTAATGTGGGATTGTTTTGTTGCGAGATATATTTTATTAATTTTATTACCTACTGTAATAATATTTATGAGATTACGATGAGAAATCTGGTCCTAGATCAAGATAACTTATTGGCTTACCTCTAGAAATGAATCACATGTAAATAAAGTATGAATGCAACTTCGAAACTTTGTATTCTAAAAACAAATTAGTATTAATATGTAAATTATTTCTACAAATGAGATTGAAGTTTTTTATAACACTTTATATGTATATAAACACATATAAGCATTTTTTTTTGCTATATTTTTCTACCAAAACCTTAAAGGGTCTGGTTGTGACATATTATGCAATAAACTTTATCTACTTTTCCAAATAATTAAATTAATTTCTTCCCAAATGGAGGTATAAAAAACAGAAAGTTTAAAAAAAGTCATACCCCTAATTTAATGTAACCCTATCCCTAATGTGCATGTAACACTGTTTCTAATGTGTATTTAATACTGTCCCTAATGTGCATATTAAGGTTATTACTTCTTGGTCCTGCTTCCTGTACAAAAGATGAACTTTGGTTTGAAAATAATTTAAAAATTTTTGATTTCATTTACTATTTGAAAAAGGTTATCTCACATTATCCTTCAATACACAGTCCAACAGTTAATTTTTTTCTTCTGCAAAAGTATATCAACCTGGGTCTTAAAAGAACAAGAATTTTATAGTAATTTCAAAATAATCTTTTTCATTAAAAAAATGGTTTATTAAATTTATGGTAGAAAACAATCTTTATTAAAAACATGGTGGAAATTAGTGCTATAATGTTGTATTTATTTACATATGCATAACACTGAACACATAAATATCAACATAATCAACTTTTTTTTAAAATGTTTTTATTTTTGCATATAAAAATTATTATTTTGAATTTAAAATTAATTGGTATTTTGAATTTAAAAGTAAAAAAAAAAATAGCTTTTGATAACTTGAAAAATTATTACAAAGATTATTTTGTCTTTAATATCATACAACAATATTAACATGTAACAAATACAACAATATTAACATGTAACAGATACAACAATATTAACACGTAACAGATACAACAATATTAACATGTAACAGATACAACAATATTAAAGCGTAACAGTTGTGTAAGTACAAACATGCAACAAATGTGTAAACATGAATTAAATCTTAAATTGTATTTATGATCATAAATTTTAAAATTTTCTGGAAATCGACAAATTCTTAGTTTTTTTAGTTTTGTATTTTGCAGAACAAAAAATCAATAAGATGTCTACTTAAGTCAAATTTCATCATCAAATATCATCATCAATAACAAAAAGTGATTTCTTTGTTAAAACAAAAGCAAATTGATTTAGTTAAGATTTAAACCTTAACAAGTAGTTTGTTGAAGGTTCTGCAAGTAGTTTGTTGAAGGTTCTGCAAGTAGTTTGCTGAAGGTTTTGCAAGTAGTTTGCTGAAAGTTCTGCAAGTAGTTTGTTGAAGGCTCTGCAAGTAGTTTGCTGAAAGTTCTGCAAGTAGTTTGTTGAAGGTTTTGCAAGTAGTTAGTTGAAGGCTCTGCAAGTAGTTTGTTGAAGGTTCTGCAAATAGTTTGCTAAAGGTTACTTAAAAAGAAAAAGATGTGTCTAAAAGATCCCTTCTGGCCATGCAATGCCAAAATCCAGAAAACTGTTTAAATAAAGTATCCAGAAAAAATCTGGCATACATTTTCTCCTTAATTTTGCTTTTAGCTGAGTTGTTTTTATTTATTTTCTCAAACTTTTCTTAACTTTTGTATAAGTCATGAGTGAAAAAGCTTGGAAAACAAATATATTACAAAAATATATACCAGAACTTGTATGTATAAAAAACGATTTGGATATTTGGAAAGACTAAAAATTAAAAAGATATCAGAAATTCTGGAAATATCCGAAAAAAATTAATCCTTATCATGGTAGAGTGCTTGCTGGTCTTTAAACAATACTTGAACAATCAGTTACAGAAACTTGCAGAATATTGATCACCAAGACAAACTTGAATCCAGTTAAACTAAGACTCAGACTCCCATAATTTTTGTTTTTCTCTTAAATATCTTATAAATATAAATAAACAGTTGAACTATAATTTAACAAAGTAATCTAAAATCTTTTTACAAATTTTTCTATTTTATAGACTGATCTAAAAGCTTTAGTGGTGTAGTGGTTGAGCGTTCGCCTCATACCAACTCAGACCTTCCGTGAGAAGATCTGAGTTAAATCCCACCACATCCCTGGAAGTACTGTGCTTAACTTGATTCTTCGCACAAGGACGTTGTTCATTAAGGATTGCATTCAGAGTTATAGAGTTGAGAGAGGGTTTTAACCACAACTAAAAAGCTCCTTGACTGAAGTGGCCTTCATGACAACGGTACTAATGTTTATTGATATTTCTCTTCAATGAAATATTCAAAAAATTTGATACAATTGTTCACTACTGCTTTGCAAATAATTTAAAAGAATATTTAAATAAATACTAAAAAAAAGAAAAGTTTATTTTTTTTTTCACATGAGAAAATTCATTAACCACCATAATTAATCTCTAATAATGTTATCTTAACAGAATTTTTGCATCACGATCTCAGAAGAACAAAATAAAAGGTTGCATCAAAACAAGGTCCAATGATCTGGTGAAATGTAAACTTTGCTTCAGTCTTTTAACTGCAAAGTACATAGCCTTAATTAGCTACAATTAACAAAGTAGGTAACCTTAATCAGCTACAAAATTTTAAGTTTTTAAACAATATTTAGAAAGTTAAAGAACAATAGAAAACAAGGAATCAATCAAGCAGTGAAACAAGGAATCAATCAAGCAGTGAAACAAGGAATCAATCAAGCAGTGAAACAAGGAATCAATCAAGCAGTGAAGATGCATTGGTTAAAGTGGTTAAAGTTTCTTTTGAATAAGGAGGTCTATAGTTCAATGCCAGCTCCAGCCATATTTGCAACCTTAAATGCTCTTCTGCGACCCTCTGTGACATTAGACCATAAGAACTTTTTAGATCACCTTGACAACCAGATAACAGAATTAAAAAAAAAAAGGAAAGAAAAGAAAATAATTTAAAAAAATTAATCTTCTTTTTCAGACAATTATATATATATATATATATATATATATATATATATATATATATATATATATATATATATATATATATATATATATATATATATATATATATATATATCAGGCTTTCCCAGGAAAGGCTGATATATATATATATATATATATATATATATAATATTACAAAAATACAATACAGTGTTAAATAATGGTAAAAATATGGATAACAAATTTCATTTCTTTTATTCAATAGTCTCAAAGATGACGTAATGATATGTTATTTTTCAGTTAAACAAAAATTACACAACTTTCCCCCAGGTTTAAATTGCTCTGTCCTAAAAATAATCTTCCACAAAAGAATAGGATTTAAAAATTCCTTTTTTTTTGATTTCCCAGATAAACTTGCTTTACTTTTGTAATGAAAGTTTTTTCAGCATTTGTATCAGCAAAAGGTTTTTAAAGCTCTGTATAATTACAATATAATTAAAAGCATTATCCTGTGTTAAACCAATATAATTGAAAGCATTATCCTGTGCTTACTGACCATTATCCTGTGGTTACTAACCATTATCCTGTGGTTACCTGTGTTCTTTGCAAATGTAAATTATACTTTTACTAGGACACAAAGAGAATACTGTGAGGCTTGCTGGCAGCTACCGGAAAGTAATTTTTTAATTATAGGGTATTTCCATGTCAAATGATCCAATTTTTAAAAATGACAACAAATATCTCAGATTTTGCTGATTTTTATAAAGTTGAGAATACTATAAAATAATATAGTAAAAAAAGTTACTTGAAAATTTTAGCCTCTAGCTCTAAAAAGATCCTGAAATATGATTATTCTACTTCTAGTAGATATTGGTCAGGCCCCTCTTGTCCCCTCAGAATCACCACGTTTATTTAGAAGTTTCAAATCACATAAATTTCAAATTATTTGATCTTTTTACTTAAAAATTTATATCTGGCTATTTTCAGGGGTGGTGAATCCAATAAAATGATCAGAAATGTAAATAATTATTTAAGGGCTCCAATTTGTCTGAAATATTGTGAAAAATCTATTGCAAGATTCTGCTACAAAAAATTGTGGTACATGCCCCCCTCCCTGGTGTCTTGGGCACTTGATACAACTTTAACATGCTTGTTCATTGGTGCTATAAAAATACCAAAAGTTTAAGAGCTTTATCTAGTCTGGAAAGTTGTGAAAAATTAATCGCAATATTCTGCTACAAAAAAGTGGGGACAATGATAAATTATCCATATATGGAAACCCATATACTTGCAAATCAGAATTCTTATATTTTCTGAAACATCAATGAATATAGAATGATGTTTTATAATTTTTTTTTTGATATCAAGGCCAAATGGGTTTGAGCATTAAAAACAGGTATATAAAAAATTGTGTAAATTATTTCAGATTTACAACATTTTATTACTTGTTAATAATTCTTTACATTTCTAATCATTTTATTAGATTTGCCACCCCTGAAAATAGTAAGTTACAAATTTTTAAGTAAAAAGTTTTTAAAGTTATGACCTAAAACTAGCTTTTAAGAACATTTTGAATGTTTTTTTTGATTTTTTTTAAGATTAAAAACATTATGAATATTTAAATTTTAATTTTTTTTACTGTAAAACATGCACGGAGTGTTGCTACATTGACTATCAAATAGCTTGCTGAGTGTTGCTACACAGAGCCACTGAGAGTGTTCATGAGGCCTGGTGCATAGCAGCAATTAGGCACCCTTACAAACATGCATAACTTTAAAATAAAGGCATCTACAATAATGCAAGTTAATGACTGTGTTTTTATTTCTAATACTGTTAGCTTACACCTACAATTTCAAGAATTTTTGTGAATAAATTAACACAGGGGTGTTAATTTATTCACAGTAAGAATTTACATTTACAGTAAACTCATTTAAAAGTATTTTTATGATGCTACTTCCACTGCAGCAACATCAATTGTCAGCATATGAATGCCTAGCGTTTTTTAAAATTTTTGTTTTAGGTGCCCCAAGAAGGCGTTACGGTCTTATCACAGAGCAAAACGAAAGGGTATTTGAATGTTGTAAAACTTGCCCAGAGGTGGCGTAAACAGATAAACAAATTCTTTGAAATTAATATTAAAAATACTCTTCTTTTTTTTATTGTTGCAGTTTTACAATCAAAAATTGTTATTATTATTAGGTCATCTTACGACAGAGTTGTATCCAATAAATTTTCAACAAGTATGTCCAATAGACATTCTAAAATCTCATGTTCTATAGTGGCCCTACAAACATTTTTAAAAATCAGTTTTAGTTAACTTAAACATTGCTCATCTTCTGCAACAGGCATTGCGTTAAAAAACTCAAGATTCTCTGTGACATATATATAAGACCTAATAGTCTTCTTTGAGCATACATAATCTTAATTTTTATTTTTTAACAATATCTTCACTTGCAATGTTTTTTTAATATATTTGAATTTGTACCTTAAATAATGTAATAAAGAAAGAAAGAATGTATTTGTAGAATAAATTGAATGATATTAAACAATATTGTGTGTTGGTGGACAAGAGAACTTATTTATTAGAGCAGGAATAACCAGGCTTACACACAAAAATCTAGATGTGGTTTAATGTAAAGTTTTATCCATTGACATATTTTCATAGATCCATAGCTAAAAAACTCTGATACTGAAATGACTACTTAAGACAACCAAGCATTTAATTGCCAACCCAAGGCTGACACTTCTACTTGTACTTTGATGCTCAATGCATGTTAGAACTAGACTGCGCCCTTTACCACCAATATCAGCTATGGTAATATCAATTAGTTTTTGTGACAACTAACTTCCAATACTTTGCACTTCTCTACATTGAAATTCACAAAGCAATTGACAAACAATATACAGCTCTGTTAATGCCCACTTGCAGTTTGCAAAGGAAAGTTGATTGACATCGATAATTCATATGATCATCACCAGCGTACACTTTAGTATGGCTATAAATGCAGTCTGGTAAATCATTGACGAAGAACACAAAAAGCCGTGAGGTAAAAACTCTTTTCCACTTTGATGTTACCTGGCCAACCTGTGATTCAGTTCAATAGCTGGTCTCAAATACCATAGGCATAAATCTTATGAAAAAGTTGTTGTTTGACACTAGGTGTCCACTATGGGGTTATGACTTTTTGAAAAAATTAATTTCCTTTGTCATCAATCGATAAACTTTTATTAGAACACATCGAAAACATGTTCAATTCCTCTCGATTGTAAAAAAGAGTCACCACGCAATTCAAATTATGTTTTGCCATTTATTTAATCTTGTTACTGCTACAACTAATAGGTGTGGCTTTACTGCAAATCATTTAAAACTTGTATAGATTAGAAGTGTTTAGAACTTTAGAACTTGTATAGATTAGAAGTGTTTAGAACTTTAAAACTTGTATAGATTAGAAGTGTTTAGAACTTTAAAACTTGTATAGATTAGAAGTGTTTAGAACTTTAGAACTTGTATAGATTAGAAGTGTTTAGAACTTTAGAACTTGTATAGATTAGAAGTGTTTAGAACTTTAGAACTTGTATAGTTTAGAAGTGTTTAGAACTTTAGAACATTTTGGAAATGAACAGAATATTTTGGAAGACCTTAGAATATTTTAGAACAATTTAGAATATTCTGGAATATTCTAGAACATTTTAGACTATATATAGCTGCTCATCTAATTTTAAAGTTATTACAGAAGCAACACATGGTGTCATACAAGCCTAGCGATAGTAGCATTCAGAAAAAAAAAGGATGTCTGGACCAATAAACTGGTAAAATTTGAAGATTCTCATAAAAGAAGAATGGTTCCTTAAGAATAATATCTGGAAGAAAAGTGCAGAATGCCTCTTCAAAAGCAAATTATCGGACACTGCCATTTCCTTGGACCAAAAATCAAAGGAAGAAAGGAGCAAATAGCGGAAATTTCCAAAGAAGTCACCAAGTTGTGGAAGAATTAACTCAATTCCTCATTTATCTGATTAAGTTATACAAGCAAAGCTTGATAAAATACTGAAATGTTATGATGAATATGTCAAGCGAGGAAACTACAAACCCCTTGATGAAACTTTTGATATTACTAAAGAGGATGGAACATGGTTATCTTCCAAGAACAAATTATTATACCATCTCCAAGTGCAAAACTAAGGAACAGTGGGATACTCTACAGGCCAAGTGACTAGTAAAGAAACGATCCATCCCTTTAAAAGACAAAAACTTTCTAATGAGTCATCCAACTCATCAATTCACTTCCCTGGTTTTAGTGATTCTGATTCTGAGGCTGACAACAGTGAATATAAAAACAATAAAGAAGATGAGACAACTCCTACACCAAGCAGAAAACATCATAAAAGCAAAATTGCAGTCAACTTTGTGACTTCCACAAGAGTGTAAACAAAGCTGCTAACATATGCAAGCAATTGGCTTGTGAAAGCATTGACATCCCAACTCCATGTCAATTAGCTATTTACAAGTCAACAATCAAAGAAGCAATCAAACTGAAGGAAGAAATGATTGAAAAGTTGCATTTGGAAAGTTGTTCTTTACACTTTGATGGCAAGCACATCGACAGAATGGATTATCAAGTGGTCGTCCTTAAAAATGAAAGAAGAGAAATCAAATTGGATTTCCTTGGCTTGGTAGATGGCAGGGCTTTAACTATTGCTTAAGGAATTTTTAAAGTTCTCAATGAATTTCACCTATGGAATTCAATACAAATGATTGTTTTAGATACCACCAGCGTTAACACTGGAAAAAAGAATGGTGTTGTTGTAATATTGCAACGAATGTTCACAGAGAAACGCATCAACAAACATCAGTTTATCAGTTGTCAACACCATGTATTAGATAGAATCCTTCGTTTGTTGATGGATAAAGAACTTGGAGGTAAAACACAGGCCTGAAGTTATAAGCCTTGGAGGTAAAACACAAGCCTGAAGTTATAAGCCTTGACTTCGTTTTCTTTATTTATGGAGGTACGACATTTGATTTGCGTTGAAATTTTATCATCATCATCATCATCATCATCATCATCATCATCATCATCGTCATCGTCATCGTCATCATCATTATCATCATCATCATTATCATCATTATCATCATCATCATCATCATCATCATTATCTGATCATTATCTGATCATCTTCTCTTTTGGCAGTTTATATAAGTTTATATAAATATGAAAGAATATTGTATGCCAGCACCTAAATAAATAGCAAACATATATGTTTATATCCATAATATGTATGCATAAAGCGCATCTCGGAAGCTTCCAAACTTTTATTCTTTCTGGAAAAAAAGTTTTTATTACTTCTCTTTAATTTTATTCAATTTTTTTAATTTTAAGTCATTCTACTCCACATCATTCTACTCCACATTTTTCACTATCTTGAGTGAAAATCTTGAGTGCTTTATTAAACATTAATCATTTTTTTTATCTTTTTTACAAGAACATCTCTCTTAAGATAAAATGTTCTTTTATTATTCCAAGAAGCTAATGTAAAAAGGTCCTGTCTGATGTTAAGCTTTGTTATTCTCAGTTTACTTGTATCTTATCTTAGATGTTAGATTCTAGAAACTCTTGGTTAGTCTTCAATAGTGTCATTAACTAACGCAAGTCTACCATTTAATCTCTAACTCATAGGATCTTTTTTTTATATCAAGTAACTTTAAGGGTACCACAAGGTTCTATCTTTGCTCAGGGTACCACAAGGTTCTATCTTTGCTCAGGGTACCACAAGGTTCTATCTTTGCTCAGGGTACCACAAGGTTCTATCTTCAGCTCAGGGTACCACAAAGTTCTATCTTCAGCTCAGGGTACCACAAGGTTCTATCTTCAGCTCAGGGTACCACAAGGTTCTATCTTCAGCTCAGGGTACCATCGTTTCTTATCTAGAATATCAATCTTCATAAAAATTTTACATCTAAAGTTGTTCTATTTGCTGACAACTCAACTTTATACTGCTGTCTTGTCAAAAAATCACTCCCCCATTGTTGTAAGGTTGAATTTCTTTATTCTTTTCTAGAAATACAATCATGGTCAATGCTCAAACGAGCTATCATCTCTATTGCAATAAACCAAAACTCATTCTTGCTAGGCTTTTTATTCAATAAGTTGCACTCTTTTACTGTATCTGTCCCTTCTTACTATAACAACTTTTATTAATCCATTTTTTTCCTTGCACATCAAAAAAACCTTATAACTCTTACCCACCTTCATGTTTTTTCTTTTTTATACAAATTACAACTTTTTAAGTCTTTAGTTAATTGCTTCCTAGTATTTAAACTTATTCTCAATTTTAAAGTAACTCATAACTTAAAAATGATTGCTTGCAATCTTGTTGAAAGTAAATTAGAGTTTAAAAATATATAAATATATGGCAGTATTTAATAAATAGTAAATGTAAGAATAAAATCTTAATATATAAAGTAATCTTAATATATAAAGAGCTATCAACCCCTGCTGAATCTTATAATTTTGCCGGTTTACAGAACGTCTCATTTTTAGCCTGAACAGGGCCGATCCAGGGTCCTAGTCACATACTATGTAACAGCAGGCTATAAGATAGTCGATGTAGCAGCACTTCCTTGCAGCAACAGTCTATAAGATAGTGGATATAGCAACACTGTCATATAGCAGCAGGCTATAATGTAGTGAATGTAGCAACACTCAGCGCTTGTTTTAAAATTATGTTTTGAAAAAAAAAACATTAATTAAAAACGCCTAGTCATTATTATTGCGGTTTTATTACATTACAAGAGTACAAAAAACTCTTGTACTCTCTCTTACTTTTATTACAGTACTCTCTTGTACTGTAATAAAAGTGTTCAATAATAAATATAATTTGTGTAATATAGCAATCCTCCTATTTCAATATTTAAGAGTGGGTTGTTTCAATGGTTGAGAGTATGGTTGAGAGTTAGCTATTTCAATGATTGAGTGGGCTGCAATCAAAATTAAAAAAAAAGAATAGCTTTAACTGTAGTTGTCCCTTTGCCCATAAGGAGGTAAAAAAGAATATATATATATATATATAATTATACCTCTGAAGATTTACTCCAAACCTCTTGCCAAAGTTTAGGAAAGAACTGAAACTTCAATGGAAGCATTTCAACAGCCAACAAACAACCTAGAATTCATTTAGGTAAAAAAAATTATTTTATTATTTATAAGTTAGGTAAAAAAAAATTATTTTATTGTTGACCACAAAAATAAAATATAAACAGCAAATATTTGTTAACTATTAATAAAAATTTATTTTATTTTATAGATTCAAATCTTTTCATTTATTTTGTTAAAACAAAGGGTCAAAACACTGTATGAAAAATAAAAAAATAAAGCAGAAACATTCTAAAGCTTTCTGTTTTAATTAAAAAGAACTTGTTAATTAATGTTGCTGAAGTTAGCTCTCATCTTCACCAAAAATATTTCCAAAAAAAAAAAAGAATTTGTTAAACAATGTTGCTGAGATTATCTCTCATATTTGCCAACAACATTTTCAAATAAAAATGAATTTTTGACTACAACACTGATTAAAAACATAATAGTAAAATGGATTTTTGACTACAACACTGATTAAAAACATAATATTAAAATGAATTTTTGACTACAACACTGATTAAAAACATAATATTAAAATGAATAATTTGATCAAAAATAAAAATTCTAAAAATTAAAAAATCAATAGCAGTAATAGCAGTAGACTCACTTATTTCAATAATAATTGTAGAAATAGGTTCAGCATTTAATCCATAACGACACATTTTATCAACAAAAAAATGGTAGCCATGAAAGTAATCACATAACTGTATTTTATATGCGCCATCAGCATCTCCCTACAGGTAATTTATATAAAATATTGTACAGGGATAAGCAATTATCTACAATAACAAAGTATTTATAACATAACAAAAAATTTATAACATAAAAAAGTATTAACAAATAACAAATCTTGTTATGAAATTAATTTTAGTTTTTGCTAAAATAAAAAAATTCTGAGACTATTTAAGTTTTTACTTAATACTAGAGTTTTGACAACATGTTTTAATTATATAATAATCATTTTTAATATAAAACTATTAAATACAAAAACTATTTAATATATAGTGAAAACAAACAATTTTATTTGTTAGTCAAAACACTGTCATAGAATAATGTAGATAGTGTAATGAATATGTTATAGAGTAAAAGAAAATGTTGCTGGAGTGATAGCATGTAATTAAAAACCTGTTTATTAAGATCAGGTTTTTCCCACATGTCACACTTCTTTGATTTTTAACTGATGTGAAGTTTGGAAATCTGATACTGAAAACAGATCTTTATTGAATACACTAACTTATACTAAAAATAATTCATTTTATTGTGACAACCAATCATTATTAATTTTGGAAACTTAGCAACAATTTTATTTTAGATAATAGAAAGTTTTAATTTGAAGAAATTTTATATGCTTTATTCTAATGAAACACTTCAAACATAGATAATTGGTCTGAAAGCCTTTTAATTAATTGGATTTTGAAAAATTAAAAAGTTATCGCTTAAAATTAATACTATTTAACGCTGCTGCTGCTGCTCACCATTCGTGCGCATTTTTACACAGAGTTTTTTGAGCATGCTTGGCCTTTTAGATATTTCTCTTTATATATTTTTGACCACGCGATGAGGTACTCTTGAATCTTAATAATCTTTTAATATCTGCTTAATCAGTAATAAGATCAAAAACTTTGCATCATCAACTTAATTAGAAATAAGATGGACATATTTTAATTTTTAAATTAAAAGACAATGATGACTCCAAAAGACAATGCTCTTCTCAAGAAGTCAAACTCTTGATAAAGTTAGTGTTATATATATATATCTCCTAAACTCTTGCATCTCACGCAGTTACATGTTAAAGAACAAGAAAGAACAATGTTAAATACTTTACCTTTAAAGAAAGGTATTATTTGTTTTTAAAAAAAATCTGTTTGCTTTTATATAAAAAACCAGATCATTTGTTTTTCCAAGTTGTTAAACATTTATTATACGAGGTATGTCATTAAACAAACATTACAATAATAAGGTTGTATTTGTAAAGTTTCGAAATTATATATTTTTCTTGATTTATTATTTTTCTTTATTATATTATTTATTTATATTTATGTGTTATTTATGTTATTTTTGTTTATGTGTTAAGGTTATATGAGTTTATATTTTGTAAGTGTGTAAATATCATT